AAGATCATATAAAAAACAATGTTAAACACACAATTAATAATTTAAAATAAATCTTTTCAAATATAGTTAAGTATTCCATTCAAAAGAGCAACAAATATGATAAAACATTTACAAGTCCTTCTGAGTGGAAAATTTTAAATTTTGTGGGAGGATCCAAAATAAGACGGCTATATAGCTACACTGTTTTAATGAATAGAAAAACATGCATATTAAAGGTAAATTCATTTTTTAATTTTGATAGCAATTTCATAGAAAATTGATGTTGATGTTAAAACTCATATGAAAAACTAAAGAACCAGAAAGATCCAAGACAACTTGGAAGAAGGCTGAGAAGGGGAAATTTTCTCCAATGAGTTAACTATTTAGTGTGAATTTCCTCTCACCTAATCACCTACTTTTAGATTCTGTTGAAATGTCTTCTATCCTGTGAATCCTTCCCAGCCTGGAGCACATTCCTTCCTATGTAATTCCATTGCATTGTGTCCTAGTCTTTAGTGCAGTATTTATCACAATCACACAGAGTTCTATGTTTATTCCTTTATTTCGTTCTCTGGGTTATGACCTACCTGACTATGTGGTCCATCTTTATATGCCCAGAGTATGATACTGATCCTGTTCACAGAAACCTGGTTCAGCTCCTTGCTCTTTCACATTGCCAAGATTATTGCTTGGTAGGATGAGCTTACTGTTTTCATTAAGTTCTCACCTAGTCTCCAGGTTTTGGCAGAGGACTCTAAGTTTTGGTGATTGTCTCTACTCAACTACCTGAGCCTCCATTTTAAAGTCATTTCTGAAAGTAGCAACTGGTTACTATAATCCCCTCCTTTTTCTCTATTACTGAATGTAATCATGCAAAGAAGGCATTATAGAATTTCTCACCTAAACAAAAACCCTTGGGTTATATTACTTTACTTCACCTTTTATAGATGAGGAAACAGGGACCCAGGGCATTCAGACAGGCACTTCATTTGAATATATTTCCAAGTTTATCTATTATATAATATTTCTACTTTCTGACATATGTGGAATTAAATGAATTAAAATTTTAAAGGATGGATGTGGAATTCAGACAATGAAAATAACATGACATTGATAGTATAGAAAAATATATAGAAGCTAAAAGGAAAAGCCAGTAAGGTACGTGATGTTTAAATGTGTATAGCCTGTTATTTTTTACCTACTATATTCTCTTATCCTGCTTTACAACATACACATATCTTATTAAAAGTTATAGGGAAATGAAGGAACATACTTAAGAGACGTTCAAGAGAATTTCAGCTCATACTCTCAAGACTTGTATAAAAATAGTCTATATTTCTGTACAAGCTCTCCTAAGGCAGTTGCTTATGTTTAGCAAAGAGTTGTGTGATCTTTTGACTTCAATTTTAGCTACCTCTTTCATTAAAGAAGTAATTCTCAATGTCATTATTTATTTCCTTTTGGAATCTTATCAGGTGAAAAGATAATTGTAAATCTCTATGTATCTTGGCTAGCACAAAGCTTTGGTGTTGGCTTTGCAGTTTATACATCCTGCTTGCATTCTCTCACGTTGTTAGCAGATTTCCTATATACTTATGCAATAGGCCTTTCCACTCCTACAACCCTCCTCGTTTTTCTTATGCAATTGCAGCATTTTGGTTGTTCAGTCATTCAGTTTTGTTCAACTCTTTGCAACCCCAAAGGCTGCAGCACACCAGGCCTCTCCTTCACTATCTCCCGGAGTTTGCTCAAACTCATGTTACCTATTTTAAAATTCAATGAATGCCATAGCCAGTATATTTCATTTTTTGTGATGTTCTTTGGAGGAAACCATCTACAATAACATAATCCACTATTAATTTAAATGGAAAAAGAAAGAGCTATTTACACAAATGAAAGCACTGTAGGCATAATGTAGTTTTGGCATCTTTATATCTGAGAAATTGACTTCAGTGAAAAGAGACAGATGAAAAGTTATAACAAATGCAGCCTCAAAAAAATTAAAAGGACCTGTTGTTGGAAATTAAGGTATGCATTTTCAAAGAGTATGGTCAAAGGAGTGAAAATACAATATGGAATGCTATCATATTTGGTCAAAATAAGTGTGGACTAATTCTGTGTTAATGTGCATGGTGGTTGCAATCTGGAGAAAACCGAAATGATTGATAGAAGTTGATCTTCTTCCCCAACCAGCAGGAGGCAGGAATGAGTCCCACCTAGGTGTGGAGGTCGTCGGCAACCCTCATAGAAGAAATGCTTAGTCATTTTGTCCTGTGGGAGGACTCATGATTCTGCTTCTGATTGCTTTACAGAGAATGTGGAAGTTTAGAGAATTTTTAGCTGTTAGGAAAGAAACTCTATTACATCTAAAAGATAGTTTAATGAGAATATCTTCCATACAAATTATAAGAATGAAGTGAGGGTTATATGAAACTAAAAATGTAAGAACTAGAACACATAGGCACACTTCCATATATAAAATACTGTAGTTCCAGCACTCTTCAGGTTTTTAAAAGTCTGCACACAATATAATAAAAATAAACACATAAATAATTAACTTTAATCTCTTTTCCCTGTATCTCAACAGGCAAAAATTCTTTCTGTAAGTTATCAACTTAACACCAAACACATAAAAGAACACTTTTTAAAAAGCCAAACTTTGTTGTGGCAAATGGAATATATGCTTGAGTTTTTCCATTCCTTTTTAAATCTTTGGTATTGTTCATGTAAGTCAGGGGGTAAAGTAGAAAAAACCTGGAACATGCTCTTGCCAAACATTAAACTTCTGTAAAAGGATTTAAAAGCAAAACCCAAACAAAAGAGGGGGCGTATTCACTAAAGAATGTGATATAATTCTGATACATTTACAGCAGGATGTGAACGCTTTCACTTGGAAGATTGCAATAGGTAGAATATTTCTCTTCTCACTCCTTCTCATGAATTTCAGCAACGGATTAGTATTTTTGGATATTGTTCAACATGTACAAAATTAAAATAACCTGATGATATAAGTTCTGTCATCTACATTTTCATTTCACAAGCCTAGCCTGAACCAATAATTTTGGAAATGTACTTTTGCTGACCTATTACTGCTTTTGCTCATCAGTTCAGTTTACAAGTAATGTATGAATAGTGTATTTTACGAGGAGCTGTAAATTTTACGTTTCTTTCAGAGTTAATCTTATTCATGTTTTAGACTTCTTGATGCTCGAGGGTTTAAGTCATTCTCCAAATCCCACAAAGTATATATAATTTCCGATCTTTTTAATGTTCTGAATAAAGGACCATACTATTTTCCTACCAGTTTGTCCTGCAGGGTGTGGCATTCATCTGCTGTACTTGGCATACAGATCAGCAACCAGGAGGAAGAGGCTGTAGATCTGCCCTCGGCAGCTGACCGTTGTGCTTTTTTGTTTATTGGTTTATTTTTCACCGTGTTCCTCCCCACTTCCTCCAAGGAATTCTTTGAAGTTTTTTTCTCATTTACTTACACGTCTTGTGTATCTGAAGAAGTCACTGGGCAACTGTTTTAAAAACTACTCTGCCCTGTTCAAGTTGATTTTAAAAGAGTTTTTGTCCCCTTAAAAAAAAAATGACCTAATTCAAATTGTAAAGAGCAGAATCTGGTTTAGATTGTTGAGCAAATCATTTCAGTATAAATGGAGCACTGATGATGGGATTATGCATGAGCCAGACTTGTGGCTTTTGGTATTTTCCTTATTTTTTCTGTTCTGGCCACAGAAGTAACACTGAGTCTTAGGGTTTCTCTCGGGGTGGGAATACAAGGACTTCAAGTCCTTTGCTCTAGAAGGACACATGAACAGATAAGTTTCTATTTAGAGTAATTAGAATAAGTAGCTAATTAAAGGCTTCTTGGCACCTAAGTACAGAGAACAGACTGAAATGGCTCTGCTGTCCTCAGGCTTGAAGTACTGCCAATATGAACACATCAGACAATTTCTGATGCTAGGAAGGCAGTCATGTTGGGTTCTATTTAGGTCTGGAAAATAAAACCACCTTGCCTTGTAAACTAAGCAAGAATAAAGAGAAATGTTTCATTTATTTTGAGTGAATGCAGTGTGTAACTAGGTATTTGACTTCCAATTTTGCTTTAAATTTTATTTTTCTTAAGTAATATTAATGTTGGTAATGTAATAGTTATATTAATTTATACATGATATTTATACCATAGATGGATAAGAGCAATCTCCTTAGCTTTAAATTCTTAAGGACCCCTGACTTTTTTTTTGTTTTTTTTTTTTGGTTGGTACTATAACTTTTATTAAAATAATACTATGAGTTAATAGAAACAGCAAAGAACCAAAGAATTAAAATGCAAGTTATGTAAATCTCAACTAAAACCCAAAAGTGAAAGCAATTGGCAAATCGCTATAAAAATTGCTATCAGTTATCAAAATTTTGGATTTTGCATTTTGCATTCTTTCCTCAGTCAAAAAAAAATTCTTTATGAATAGTATATAACATATAAAATAATATATAAAAATACATTATAAACTTACTATGAATACTAAAACTTACTAAAATACTATCAACAATGACTATAAATACATTATCTTACATGTTTCTTATAGTCAATAGGTTGGTTATGGTACGTATATAGCACGAAAGCATTGAGATAATAAAGAATAGATAAAAACACATGTCAGCTATATGTAGCTACAATTGACACTCCCATCTACCCATGCCAAAAGAATTCCATAATACTATCAGAAAAAATGTCTGAAAAACTGCTTATTTTAATAAGAAATAAATTCAATAAAGAATGACAGTACTGAGAACCAGGGCATTCAGAAGGACCTTTAACATTTGATTTTTTTCTTTTAGGGACACTAAGGAGGCTTTGCTGGAAATTAGTCATTGGGCTACATAGGTTGGCTGGTGATCCACACAAGGAGTGACAAAGTTGAAGCAGGAATAGAACTGTTTCAAACCAAAGTCTTAGGGGAGAATGCGTGACTTGACACTGAATATAAAAACCATGTGTAAATTTAGAGTCATACCTCTAGTGGCAGGTCTTTCCTCTCCGGTTATCTCCCTCTTGTAATTGTTTGCTGATTCTTTTGCACTCACTTCTGCCAACTCTGTGGCCGCCTCATGTTATTCCTACTTACTCTGTCCTTGCTCAGCGTCTGGAGCTCCAGCTCATGTCTGGACTGGAACTAGCTCTGAAGAAGTGGGCTGGAGACAGAGTGAGGAAGAGAGAAGAAATGCACATCTTCCTCCTTTTGCCTACCATTGTTCTTGGCTCAGCTTTAAAAGCTCCAGTTAACAGGTAAAGTTAGGGTTTTTAAACAAAGGATGACAAGTCCCCTGACTGAATAGGATCATTCTAAAAGAAACACAGCACTGAAATGGAAATCATCCTCCAAGCTCACACAGGGGAAGAAAATATAACGCCTGCACCCTGGGGAAGCAGATTTCCTTTACTCTGAGAAAAAAACAGAAATGGTGCATCTTCCTCAGTTCAACCTGTCATGCAGTACTGAAAAAATGTTCAACCCAGAGCAGGAACCCATAATTTTCGTGTAAAGTGGTTTTGTCCCTTTAATGAAGGAAGTATATACCTTTATCAGGCATTATAACTAGAGATGGTTCTAATGGAAGAATACCTAAAACTGATTATAATTATTGAATGAATGTCAAGTTAGTGACAGAGAAGTTAAAGGACCAGGCCAAAAGCTGGCAGTAATATCAGCAACAATATGGCAGAAGGTATCATTACTACTTGGGACTAAAGACGTCATGTGAATGTTACCAACTGTAGTGAGGAAGGGTTGCTAAGTGACAGTGAAGTAACAGAACTATTATATTAGTCAGGAGAGACTGGCTGTTAACCAGCTTCATGGATGCAGTGACAAGAGTTGGTGAGTTCCTTCCAGCCCCATCACAACCTTCTCTGCTGCTTTTCTCATCCTTCCACCAAATTAGATGCCAAGAGAGAGAAGACACTAAAGAGAACTAGGGTTCCATTATTTATTCTTACGAGGATTTTTCTGTAGGAGATTTTTTGTTTGCCTTACCTTTGTTTTCTTACTCAATTTGTTATTCAATTGTTCCGCTAAGCCCTGGTGGCTTCATCAAGTAGCCAGCTTCCTACTTCTCTGAGAGAACACAGTTTATTGTTGTGGATATGAACAAGGGTTCATGAGTCTCAGAAGTCAAGGTCAGAGTTCAAATAAAAAATTCTTGCTAACCTTCTTAAGCTTTGGTTTTGCTAAATGACAAATAATAATAAATGATCATAATCATAGTACCGACCTCTTGGAAATGTGAAAATTCAATGTAATAATACACATTGAAGGCTCAGACACCTATACTAGCTAACAAAATAAATCAGATATTTTGTGTGATATCAAACTCATTTTATTTCATGTGGTTGCAAGCAGAAAAGATAAGAGCAAGAGGAGTACCCTGAGGGGTAGTAAGAGTGATGATTTATTGATTATCTACCCTGTGTTAGGTCAGAGATGCAGAGGTAATAGCAGGAAATAAGAACTATTTCCTAACTGATCTTCAGAGCTCTCACTTTAAAAGGAGAAAAGTCAACCATTCAAAAAGCCTAAAAATAACACATGAAGAGGAGGATATGGAGAAAGGAGAATCCCAATACAGTGTTTCTGGGAATATAAATTGGTGCAGCTATTATGGAAAACATGATGGAGGATCCTTTAAAAACTAAAAATAGAACTACTATATGATTGAGCAATTCTACTCCTGGGCATATATCCAGAAAAAAAGAAAGCACTAATCCTAAAAGATATATGTACTCCAATATTCATAGCAGCACTATTTACAATAGCCAAGACATAAAAGCAACCCAATTCCCCATCACTGGATGACTGGATTAAGAAGATGTAGTATACATACACAATGGAATATCAGACAGAAAAAAAATGAAATACTGCCACTTGCAGCAATGTGGATGTACTAGAGAATGTTATGCTTAGTGAAGTAAGTCAGAGAGATAAACACTGTATGATATCACTTACATGTGGATATACATTATTAAAAAAATAATACTACTGAATGTATATATAAAACAAACGGATGCACAGATATAGAAAACAAACCTCTGGTTACCAAAGGGGAGAAGGAAAGGGGAAGGGGCAAATTAGGGGCATAGGATTAACAGATACAAACTACTATATGCAAAATAGATAACAAGAATATACTGAATAGCACGAAGTATTACATCCATCATCTCATAAGCAACCCAATTCCCCATCACTGGATGACTGGATTAAGAAGATGTAGTATACATACACAATGGAATATCAGACATTAAAAAAATGAAATACTGCCATTTGCAGCAATGTGGATGTACTAGAGAATGTTATGCTTAGTGAAGTAAGTCAGAGAGATAAACACTATATGATATCACTTACATGTGGATATACATTATTAAAAAATAATACTACTGAATGTATATATAAAACAAACGGATGCACAGATATAGAAAACAAACCTGTGGTTACCAAAGGGGAGAAGGAAAGGGGAAGGGGCAAATTAGGGGTATAGGATTAACAGATACAAACTACTATATGCAAAATAGATAACAAGAATATACTGAATAGCACGAAGTATTACATCCATCATCTCATAATTACTTGTAATGGAATCCAATGTGCAAAAATACTACATTGCTATGCTGTATACTTGAAACTAACACAATATTGTAAATCAACTACACTTCAAAAAGTATAAAGAAGACCATTACTAAAAATATAGCTTTTCATAAGATTGTTACAAACCAGTAATCAGTTAAAAGTATAATACAAGGAAATTATATTTGTCAAATAATAATGACTAGTGGAAAATCAAATTGTAATTGTATTTACCAAATAATAAAATAAATTTACATTTTAGAAAAATGCAGTATGACAGTTCCAAGTATTATGCTAAGCAGTAAGTAAAGGAAACATATGAAAAGAGTAATGGCGGGACTTGTAACCCAAACTGTCTAATTTCCTATCAGGTATAAAGAAAGTGTTAACAAATCTACTGACAGCTAGAGAGAGTTCGATTTGAAGATTAAATTGAAGGTGTTAAATAAGAGATGGAGGAATAGATGAATCTTCTTCTGGATTAACATACTGCCATATTTTTTACTTGTACACAATGATGTAAATGAAAGAGAGTGGGCTTTGGAGTCAACACAAACATGAGTTTACCCTGTATGACTGATTACATTTACTAATGTCTCTAGAACTCAGTTACACAATCTGAAATTGGATAATAATAACTAACAGGAAAATTGCCTAGAGTATTAAATATGTATAGGCAGGTATAAGTGCAAAATAGTGGTAGAGTCCATTAATATTAACTTTCCTTCTCTCTCACTTTCTTTCTCTATTTGCTCCCCTTCTGAATCACCCCAATTTTGTAATACCTAAGAGAAGATGGTTTGTTCGTGAAATTGTATAGGAGACAGGGATCAAGACCATCCCAACGGAAAAGAAATGCAAAAGAGCAAAATGACTGTCTGAGGAGGCCTTACAAATACCTGTGAAAAGAAGAGAAGCGAAAAGCAAAGGAGAAAAGGAAAGATATTTCCATTTGAACGCAGAGTTTCAAAGAATAGCAAGGAGAGATAAGAAAGCCTTCCTCAGCAATCAATGCAAAGAAATAGAGGAAAACAACAGAATTGGAAAGACTAGAGACCTTTTCAAGAAAATTAGAGACACCAAGGGAACATTTCATGCAAAGATGGGCTCGATAAAGGACAGAAATGGTACGGACCTAACAGAGTGAAGTTGCTCAGTCGTGTCCAACTCTTTGTGACCCCATGGATTGTAGTCTACCAGGCTTCTCTGTCCATGGGATTTTCCAGGCAAGAGTACTGGACTGGGTTGCCATTACCTTCTCCAGGGGATCTTCCTGAACCAGGGATCGAACCCGGGTCTCTTGCATTGTAGACAGACGCTTTTACCATCTGAGCCTAACAGAAGCAGAAGATATTAAGAACTGGTGGCAAGAATACACAGAAGAACTGTAAAAAAAGATCTTCATGACTAAGATAATCATGATGGTTTGATCAGTCACCTAGAGCCAGACATCCTGGAATGTGAAGTCAAGTGGGCCTTAGAAAGCATCACTACGAATAAAGCTAGTGGAGGTGATGGAATTCCAGTTGAGCTATTTCAAATCCTAAAAGATGATGCTGTGAAAGTGTTGCACTCCATATGCCAGCAAATTTTAAAAACTCAGCATTGGCCACAGGACTGGAAAAGGCTAGTTTTCATTCCAATCCCAAAGAAAGGCAATGCCAAAGAACGCTCAAACTACTGCACAATTGCACTCATCTCACA